AAGTTAGTAATTATAAATCATTATAATCACACAAAATGAATGCATAATGAAATTAAAGGATACTCGCAACCAGAAAAAAATGTTACCGAGTTGATCTACGCATGTAAGGTCTGCACACATATAGATTGTTATTCCACCCATTGCTCTAGAGGCCTGACATAACTCGGAAAACAAAGGGTTTTTGACCTCCAGTGACTCCAGTCGTTTCCTACAACCATGTTCTACCTATATCACAGCATAGTCCAGAATAAAGAGAATCCGTAAAGCCAATGGGAGCAACAATAACCTAAGTATACGCGTATAGGCTGTTATTCAAGCGGTGTCCTCAATTGCAGTAAGAGTAAGTTGCTCCAGCTGGCACCTGGCAGGCTGGCATATGCTGTCGTGACTTCATATAATATAGGCCATGCTGAAAAATTTGGATTTTCCCTAATTAAGTAGCTCGCAAATTTTTCAGGACAGGTGCTTTTTTTAAGAGCGCCTATTTTCAGTGCCTGAAAGATGAACTGTAGTTTCTCCACCACGGTGTGAGATGAAATTTTTGCATGCAGTGCTGCGATGATTGTCCTATTTGGTTGGCGCTGATTTAGTTTTTACTTGCAAAGAGATTTTATTACTCCCCTAGATCATAGTCTCCACCCTCCACTTCAATGCTGCAGCTAAATCTTGACAATTCATCCAAGACTGTCAGCAATAGTACGCAGAGCAAAGTTTCTGCAATGCATGAAACTGAATCTCTATTGAATTTATTTATGGTACCCAGCTGAATCTCTGTCGAAGTTAGTTATGGTACCCAGCTGAATTTCTATCGAAGTTAGTTATGGTACCCACATGGATTGAAAGTGGCAACAGTAGTTATCATTCCTCTCACTCTCCAGAATGTTTAGTGGGTCTTTTTTATGTTCTGGTTGTGATTTTAAAACTGATGGTTGTCATCAGCCAATATCAACCTGACTTTGGAAAGACCTTTTGACAATCCGCACCATCACCAGATTATGAAAAAGTTCCCTCAGTTGAGAGGTATACTCAGGTATGAGAGAATAGTAATCATTTTTTGTGTTTATATTTCTACCACGGGTTCATATTAGCACCGTCCGCATCTTCTGTGAATTTTCGTATAATTTATTTCTCTACATTTTAAGACGTTCACATATGAAGCCTGGGAACACATAAGATCAGTAGAGCTAAAATTACTCATACTCATAAATATTGGATGGTACGTTTTAATCGCAATTTAAATTACGAATGTGGAACGAAGAATCAATGTTATTCTCAGCTGGTTGAAGCAAGAATTGTTTCTCAAAATTTCTGCATATTTTTTTTTCACTTACAGGAGGGGCTGCGAGGGTCGAACATATCTGCTTTCTGCTCACTTCAAGCAAAATTCGGTGAAATTTTTTAGAAAAATATGCAAGGATTCTCTGGTAATGTTTAATAAATTATCTGCATAACTTATGTAACAGCACATAGCAGGTACACCAGTTTTGCCTCGAGGAAGTTTACTTCCAGTGCACCTTATACAATGCAGTTTATGAATAATATAGAGTCTTGTTCAAAGTTCCATCTTCATCTGTCGCTTCCATGCCCAGGAATGATATCCTGTGAAGAGATGAAGGTCTTAAACATAGGTATATAATCTGAAATTTTCGATGTACCATCATAATTTCCGCATTAAGTTTTCTTCTTTTAATTTTCATCACTTAACAGCTAATTTTCTAAGAATGGCTTCCATTAGAGAAGCACTTCAACCCCCAGGATTTCAAGAATCCAAAACTCTGCTAAGTATAATGCCGTCAGAAGTATAAGGGGTGGGGGAGGGGGGATTTGTTCATTTAGCCTCAGATGGTACTTTGAAGGTACAATTGCAGGGGACATACGTTAGTTGATAAACGTATTATAGTATGGATCGGAGATTGTGCAGTCTTAAATACTCAGTTTGCCCTGGTCAAGTTTATTTTTGACTACTTCTTATTTCCTATTATTTGTTTCATTTTGCTACAATGCTGAGCTTCTGACCTCTAAGGAAGCAGCGTGTCAGACGGTATGAAACGGGATAAACGTAAGGGACCGTCCATAAATTACGTTACCCATGTTTTTCAATTTTTCGACACCTCCCTCCCTCACTGTGTCCAACTACCGTACTCGTCAATTGCCAGACGACCCCTCCCCCCCAAAGAAAAAATTGTCATCCATAGCGCCTCTCCCCCCTTGTTTGGGAGAAAACGCAGAAAATCAATAAAAATCTATTGGTAGATATTTCTGCAGCTTTAAGAACACGATTAATTTCTATTTATGAGTATTACTTTTATGTTGCGTTCTTTTACAAAGGAAAGTAATTGAGGCTACAATTTGTTATTAATTAAACGGCGCAAACTTTACTTCTTTGAGATAGATTGAAATTATTTTTTGAAAAAAAAAAAATTTTAAGCAAATATTTTCAGCCTTTTTGCCCTCAGGAAAGCTTACGTCATCCTTGGCTTGATCCCCCCTCCCCCCCGTCGCCCATCGTCATCCACCGCTAGATCCTTCTATACCCCCCTAAATTGGGTGACGTTATTTACAATTTATGGTCGGCCCCTGACGGAAGATAGGACATTTCCGTGAAATATTTCATGAAACTTTGGAGGGCTATGAAATTCTTGTAATATACGAAACATTCATTTCAGGGGTGGGGTATGCAATCCGCATCAAGTATGTGATAAAACTTTGAAAGAATTCCTCTGAATAATATTCACAACGTTTTGATAACTATTCAGCAAAAGCTGTTAACTAACAAGTTGAAAAATATTTTTCATTTTTTTAGGAATTACCGGAAATATTTCAAGTACACCCACATGAAAATTTATAAATTTAAGATTATAAATTTCACACACGCCACCCTGTTCACATATGCGTGAATTTGAGGTACCCACAAGGTTTTGGTCACATGGCGGAAGACTCATCTACATTTACAGGCAGAGATATGCTAAATTTCATAAAACTTTATAAAATGAAATTTCATGAAAAATTTTACAGCTTTCCATAATGGTGATTCGAGTATGCCATGAAAAGAATAAAAAAAAGTATTAAATTTTGTATATTTTTTTAAAAAAAATATTAGCCAAATTTCGAAGTTTCGTACCTTTTAAACTCAGATGCATACACAAAAAATCGATTAAATTTCATGAGAATGAAAATTCATTTCACTTTCAGCAAGGCATGCTGCTTATTTTGACCGTTTTGACCACTTTCATTTTGCCGTTTTGTTGCAACACCGGCATCTCAGTATAAACACGCTCGAAATTCATCATATGCTCCTTGCATCGCCCTGACAGCAATATTTTATCCCGCCCCCTTCATTCCTGATAGTTTTTTTTTTTTGAAAGAAAGTAATAAAATATCATCAGAAATAATTTTAATGAAGTTAGCAAAGCGTCAACTTTACACTTCGCCGAAAGGTACACTCTTCAAACTTGTTAGCACAAGGGAACCTCACAGGAAGAATCTTCTTATTTCATTCTTTAAGTGAATGCGTAATGGTATTTATGAGATTTTTCGTGACGCATATTATGCGTAAAAAAGCCAGCTCATTGTCAGTCTCTGAGGCATGAAACCCTGGAGGAACAAAAAATTCTCATTTTTACGAAATCAAAGTCCGGAATGAGATCAGACGGAATATTCCGCAAATACTTCCGGCCTATAGTTCCTTACCCTTCGTAACAAACTTGGCAACGTAGTATGAGTTTCAGCGCTCTCTGTCGGCTTCTGGCTGCAACCGCGCTTGGGTTGAATTGCCACATTCGATTCCATATATCGCAGAGGAGTCTTGTAGAGGCCATACCTTGGAGGCACTTAGACGTATTTTAGGCCTTATCAGTGTCACAAGCGGGTATAAATATTACACTTTCACCAATAGTGAAGATTATAAACCGGAATAGACCGGGGAACTGGGGGTACAAAAAGGAACTAAAGGAATGAGAGAGGGGGCAGAAACAGGAATGGGTTGATCAAAGTTTAAAAAAAAAGTCCGATTTGTTTAATCTTTATTCCCGTTTGTGACATCCATAAGCGGCGTTGTCTCAACTTTCTCTATAAAGGGACTCTAAAATACTCTAGTTTGCAAAAGTTTTGACCCTAATGCGAACGCAGAGAGCAATTTTACTTAGAAAAAACTAGAAAAATCGGAATATTCAACCCTTAAAACTTCAACCCCCATGTTGACAGTGAGATGGAGGATTTATGGCCTGGGATTTTTTCATCGTTCTGTCCGTGCCTATTGACAACTTTTGAGCCCTAGCCGTTTTCAAATTTCCAAAATAGTCTTTTTCGGCCTACTCTAGTGAACAAATATTAAAAATCTGCTCAGTTACCATCAATCCGACAGTAGGATGCAAAAAGAGCCCGGAACAAAATGTTTTAAAATATGCTGCAAATGGATCTAGGTACAAGTAATTCATACATCTTTATGCTAGGATGTATTAACAACTTAAGGTGATTCGATGGACACCATATTTTGTGTCAAAACGACATGCAATAAATTGCATTGATTGGTTCCATTTTTTCAGCTCCTCGTCATTTTCCTCAAGTTTTGAGATCACAACTCTGTTGTCAGGAGACTTAAGAATTCACTTACCAATGTTGACATACAAATTTATTATAATAAAGGCGCAGTTTTTTTTAGAGGAAAGATATTGCATTCAATACTGCTATCTAAACTGCACTCGAATGCAATATTTCTCCTCTAAAAAAACTCTACCTTTATTATGTTGAATTTGTTTGTCAAATTTGGTACATCTCATGGCAGTTTAGTCTCATGGCAACAGAAGTGCGATTTCAAAATTCGAGAAAAATGACAAGTAGCTGAAAGCATACAGCTAATCGATGCAACATGTTGCACGTCGTTTTAACACAAGATATGGCGTCCATAAAATCACCTTGAAATAACTTCCAATAAATAAATAAATGAAAAAAAAAACTTCCAATATAATCAAACAATTAGGGTAGAAGAGGCACTTTACTACCTTCCAGATCCAGGCCACTGTGAATTGGGAGTTATTGTCACTTCTCGACAGCTGTCACTATCGATGTTATAAACATACAGTTTCAATGGCCTCCCTTCATGAGTTTCAATTAAAGTGAATAAATCTTCGCTTTCATGTAGGATGGAATCTGCTCCAATTATGTAGTCTGAAAAGGCTTTTAGACCAGCTAGTTCTGCCGGAGACTGTGGATGCACTTCCTGAAAAAAGCAAAAAAGGTGCTTCTTAGCGGGACAATCCTATCAATGGACACTTGCACACTTTTTTTTCTTTCCTTCCATTGCTTGTATTGAAAGAACTAAGGCTCCTACATGATATCTTAGGAATTGTCCTGGAGTTTTTTGACCAAAAGAAACCCTGAAAAAAAAGACAACTTAAAATCGCCCCAAAATTCGGACTTTTAAAACGATCACTTTTAGGCGGGAATGGATCCCGTGCACTAGAAATGCCACAGTACCTGTCGAATCTGGTCACTTCATCCCTTGAAATGTATCCCTCCATTAGGAATTGGCAGTCGCTTTTTAAATGTAACCATTGAGACAACAAGACAAAAAAACCGACACTGACAACAAAAAGAAATTAGCCGTTGGAATCAGTTGTCAATTTTCAAATCCCTGCACCTTGCAAAAGGCCAATACTAAGTACTGTTAATCCCAAAGAGTACAATAGAGTCGCAAAGTACTGGAGCGCCGATGAAGCCAATCCATGAACAGATGTTTCCGAGCCGCGTGTGCTCCGAAAAGTGTGAACCAAGTGTGAACCCAACGGCATTTTGTAACACGGCGGCTTACGGAGAGATCAAGAACTGCTTGTGTTTTTTCGACATTTTATAATTCAATCAGCATTAATTTTTGCAAATTTTGCTATTAAAAGGTAGTCAAAGCCATAATGAATCTACTGATGTATATTACTCCCGGATAATATTCATATAGGGATTTAATTTCTGACTTATACAAAGTGTGGACCAACCGGCATTTCTTATCATGGCGGCTTACGGGAGAAGCAACGACTGCTTGTGTTTTTTCGACATTTTATAATTCAATCAGCATTAATTTTTGCAAATTTTGCTATTAAAAGGTAGTCAAAGCCATAATGAATCTATTGATGTATATTACTCCTGGATAATATTCATATTGGGATTTAATTTCTGACTTACACAAAGTGTGAACCAACCGGCATTTCTTATCATGGCGGCTTACGGGAGAAGCAACGACTGCTTGTGTTTTTTCGACATTTTATAATTCAATCAGCATTAATTTTTGCAAATTTTGCTATTAAAAGGTAGTCAAAGCCATAATGAATCTATTGATGTATATTACTCCTGGATAATATTCATATTGGGATTTAATTTCTGACTTACACAAAGTGTGAACCAACCGGCATTTCTTATCACAGCGGCTTACGAGAAAAGCAACGACTGCCTGCGGTTTTTCGACATTTTTTAATTCAATCGATATTAATTTGAGCAAATTTGGCTATAATTAGATAGTCAAAGCCATAATGAATCCAATGATGTATATATTACTCCTGGAGAATATTCATATAGGGATTTAATTTCTGACTTATACCAAGTGTGAACCAACCGGCATTTTTTAACACGGTGGCTTATGGAGAAATCAACGACTGCTTGTGTTTTTTCGACTTTTTTTAATTTCATCGATATTGATTTGTGCAAAATTGCTTGAAATAGATATTCAAAGCCATAATGAATTCATTAATGTATATTACTCCTAGATAATATTCATATATGGACTCAATTTCAGACTTTTTACCGCCCTACTTAGCTGGTTCAATGCGTGTGGACCTGACAGACAACGTAGCGGAGCCGAGTTGGGAGTGGGGAGCCCTGAGCGCGAGTCCCAGCACATGCGTCATCGCTAGTCGCCGCACACTAGTCTCTCGTGTACTGGACAAAACAGCCTCCAAAAGTGGCTTCATCGGTGATCCAGTACATTGCGACTCTATTGTACTCTATGGTTAATCCTTTCAATGGCAAGCCAAAGTGTTGGATTGCAAGTTAGTTCTTCTCTTTGAATTCCTTGCAGAATGGGGGAGAAATAGGAGACGGATAGAGCTGTATGCAATGGAGGCATGCAAAATGAGACAGACAGTGAGGACTCAATTGTCAGTACAATGAAAAAAACAACAAACCAAAATAATTTATAATCGGGTCATTCAATATAGAACCTACCAGCCATGAAACCACCCAACTCGGATTTAGCTGTTACATTTTTTTCTTGATCAGACCACCAAATAATGAGCCTCTGCAAAATATCAGGTCTCAAATCGAACAACTCACTGAGATGTGAATTTTGGATTTCTTTATGGATTTTCAAGAAACGGACGTTTCGAACTTCCAAAAAAGAGAGGGCCATTTTCCCCAAATAAATTTACTCCGGGCCCATTTTTCGTCGGATTGAAGTGAAACTTTGACAGGATGTTAATGAAAGTATGTAAAATTAAGAAAAGAATGCATAAAATGTTCGACTTCACTCATTGATATGCTGCGGTTGAATGTTTGTTACGATTTTGTCTGATTTTAGCGACAAAACCTTCCCCTCTTTAAATGCCCATAACTTTTGAGCTGCAAGTTATTTTTTGCTCCAATTTTATTTTTTAAATGTTCCTAAGAGTATCAGGAGGACGCCTGAAGAACAATTTTGATGGCGTTTTGGGTTATAGTATCTTTTTCTTTTGTCCGAAAAAGGCCTGAAAACCTGAAAATAACACCAAAATTATTCCGATAATCGACCATTACCCTGAAAAGTCAACTTAAAAATCGCTCAATTTTTGCCTGAACGGTCCTTGCTGTAGGGACAATATGTTTGAAAAATTAAATCAATGGTATTTTGGGATTAAATATCTTATACTTCACTTTTATTATCCAGACGCATTTCACATGCAGTGAGAATTCAGTAAAAATCTGAGTGATTTTTGAGTTGCTCCTCCAAAGTTAGGGCCAACAATTGGCGAAATTTCTTGGGTTTTTCTGTTTTGCAGGCCTTTTTTTGGGCAAAAACTTGAAGTATTAGATACTCCCCAAAAAAACTAAAATATGATTTTTGTACAAAATTTCGGCCCAATCCAAAAAAAGTAACCAAGTACAAAAAAAAAAAAAAAAAANAAAAAAAAAAAAAAAAAAAAAAAAAAAAAAAAAAAAAAAAAAAAAAAAAAAAAAAAAAATCAGGCATCCAAAAATATGATGGCAGTACCGTTTGGATTCATCATTTAAAAGGAAATGATATCAAAACGGCCCAAGTTTCTCTTTCATGCCCATGCTATATACTATACACCCCCAACGTTTTATACACCAAAAAAAAAAAAGATTAAATACCTATAAGGTATGATGACCTGAGCACGTTTTGATCCATCGCTTTAAAGGAATATGACATCAAATCAGCCGAACTTCTCTGAAATATGCCCATCTCAGATCAATAACTTTTTCGAGACCTTCTGACTCATCGCTGAGGAGACACTGATCATTACTTGACCCTTAGTATATGTCCTTGTTTAGGTGTCAAAGAGGTCCTTATGAGAACTGTATTGAATTTTTTTTCTTTAAAGAGATAAAAAACAAAAAATCGCCATAAAATTGAAAAAAAATTCGAAGAAAAAAAAAGGAATGGGCCGGCCGGCCGTACATACAAGTGGTAGTTAGTAGGGTGATTATCGTCTCTCTTGCATATACATGAACAAGTATCATCGTCAAAAGGAGGATCAGTCCTTCTTGAAATCGTAATTGAAAGATAGACTGAAAGATATTCACACATGAGTGTGAACAACTTAACAACTTTCAAGCAATGCCATATTCTTTGTTTCTTTCTGATAGAAGGCCTTACAAACTACTGAACCTTGGCGTATTATTGCGAATATTATGTGCCTCCTACTTAGGTACAATGCTTCTTTCTTAACAACTTCATGGATGTTTGAAAGACCGGGTCGGTCACCCATGCCAAAATGTTGGGGCATACCAATGTATCTATTTTTCCCCCTTTTTTTTGAACGTGTCGGCCGGCCCATTCATTTTTTTTTTTCTTCGAATTTTTTTTCAATTTTATGGCGATTTTTTGTTTTTTATCTCTTTAAAGAAAAAAAATTCAATACAGTTCTCATAAGGACCTCTTTGACATCTAAACAAGGACATACAGGGTGTTTCAGACCACCCGTACCAGGCCTTTTTCTCGGTTGGTTTAGGCCGCACGAAGTCGGAGACCGCGGGGTTGAATAGGGAATTGACCCCAAGGAATCCGAATTTCGTGGTCCCGAAACCCTCCCACCCCCCCTTGGGGGGTAAAGGGGGGTCACGATGCTAAAAGTCACGGTTCCCGACCAAATTGCGGATAGATCGCATCAGAATTGAAAAGCACGGAAAATTTCACGTGGAATTGACCCCTAAAAATCCAAAATCGGACCATCCAAGGCCCAAAAATGACCCTTTAAAGAGGGGGACAGTACCCCCCTCCATACTTTCTCTTTGGTCTCAAAATTGACGTAAATTCTCCAGAAAAAGACGGTTTCCGCGGTAATCGACCTTGAGAAATCCAAATTTCATGGTCCCGAAGCTCCTTTAGCCCCCCTTGGGAAGTAAACGGGGGGGCCCAATTTTGAAAATCGGGGCTCCTTTCCGAATCGCAAATTGATTGCATCCAAATTGAGGAGCAGAACACATTTACATCTTAAGTGACTCCTAAGAGTTCTAATTGACCCCCCTGAACGGCAGAAAGTAACCCCCTGAGGAGGGGGGCCTCGCCCCGCCAAAAATTTCTCAGGATTCCTCTTTGGTCGCAAAATTGACGTCGATTCTCCAGAAAAAGACGGTCTCCCATGTAATCGACCCCGAGGAGCTCAGGGAACATGAAATTTAGAGTCCTCGGGGTCGATTACATGAGAAACCATCTTTTTCTGGAGAATCGACGTCAATTTTGCGACCAAAGAGGAATCCTGAGAAATTTTTGGCGGGGGCGAGGCCCCCCTCCTCAGGGGGTTACTTTCTGCCGTTCAGGGGGGTCAATTAGAACTCTTAGGAGTCACTTAAGATGTAAATGTGTTCTGCTCCTCAATTTGGATGCAATCAATTTGCGATTCGGAAAGGAGCCCCGATTTTCAAAATTGGGCCCCCCCGTTTACTTCCCAAGGGGGGCTAAAGGAGCTTCGGGACCATGAAATTTGGATTTCTCAAGGTCGATTACCTCGGAAACCG